ATATATTTTAAAATGTAATGTATTACTGTGATGGCAAAGCTGAATTGTCATTACTTCAGTCTTCAGTGTCACATGATCCTTCAGAAATCCTTTTAATAAGTTGATTTGCTGCTCAAAAAACATTTTACTATCAAGACTGAAAACAGTTGTGCTGCTTAATATTTTTGGAGTAACCTGATGCTTTCTTCAGACTTCTGATTAATAGAAAGTGTTAATTTCTTTCTTGCTTGCTTTCTTTATTTCTTTCTGTAAGTGTATGTTGGTACTGTATGTAAATATCTGATCATTAAATATATCTTCATCAGGGAACTATACTAAACAACTCTACAGCATTATAGTGAATCCCGGACATGTCAAAGACAGTTAATAATGCTTGTTAAAGTTGAACGTTATAGTGTAGTACCAGGACAATTCTGGCATTTTCCGGGGTTCCCTGGATCAGACAAGGTTCTCCAGATATCATGCTCTCCTGTACTCCAGGTAATAACACTCAACACATCAATGAAATACAGTCTCAAATCACATTACAGTCATCAACACTTCATGTTATGTTTTAAGGTAAGCTGGTATTATAGATTTGTTCATTTAATAAAGTTAAAACACTTATAAAGTGATCCTCTAATAGGTGTGCCTGCAGTGCACACACACTTGTGTGAAGAACGAGATCAAAGTCTGGTTGACAAAAATTTGAACTCCACCCATACTTCTGAACGATCACAACCAAGCACACATCACACTCATGATGTCAAGCTCTTCATTAACCTTGGCGACAAAATTATAGTCATCATCATGGGATTTCCAAAGCACATGTGAAATATTAATGGCAATCCTTGAATAGAAGTCAATGAGGAATCCCTGATGATGCTCATCTAGTGCTCAAAAGAGGAACTACACTCTTAAAAATAAAGGTGCTTCACGATGCCATAGAAGAACCTTTTTGTCTAAATGGTTCCATAAAGAACCTTTAACATCTGAAGAACCTTTCTATTTGACAAAAGGTTCTTTGTGGCGAAAGAAGGTTCTTCAGATTACAAAAAGGTAAGAAAGCGATGGTTCTTTAAAGAACCTTTGACTGAATGGTTCTTTGTGGAACCAAAAATGGTTCTTCTATGGCATCGCTTGAAGAACCTTTTGAAGCACCTTTATTTTTAAGAGTGTAGAAGCAAGCGACACAACAAAAGATTGCATAATAGTTTAGTGTTCCGGGCTTCTCTTTTTCTCACAGAACTTCAGTACACCGGCTGACACAACATTAACCACCACTGGGAACTGATATAAATGAATGACACACCAGTTGATCTCTCATTCATTTGATGTAGTGAGGTGAGTGAAGAGCGGAAAGGCCTCTGCTCTGTAAGAACAGCACTGATGTCAGAGGAGGTGATATATAGTCTCTGTGCAGTGGTTATATACGGCTCTCAGAGCTCCTCACAGCACTGCACACGATCTGATCCTCTGAGAGGCTCTAATGAAAGAGAGGAGGCAGAGAAAACACAGCGCATTTCTCACAAGTAAATTGCCTGTGTGCTTCTCCACGCTTGACTTTCTCAGCAGCCACGCTCAAAGGGGAGTATAAATAGGGGCAAGTGACTGCTTTTTTTTCTATATCCTATAGTTACAAACAGTCACTCAGGCATGCAAGAGTAAATATAAGGTTATAGGGGTGAGAGATATACTAGCTGAAGTGATGAACTGGCCAGTTCAATCACTTCACATTCAGAGAAACACATGGAAGAACTTGATAATAAAAAAGGTGTTTTCTCTGGTGTTGAACTGAAACCCCACTCCCTTACTTACAGTGACAAACAAAACAAAACAACAACGGTTTTTAAAAAAATAAATATTTAAATAAATATTTAAAATTATAAATATATGATATACAGTCACACACAAAGAAAAACAAGTAGATAGAATAGAAAAAATCGAAAGCAAGTGTTTGTTTGTTTTTTGTTGTTATTTTTTAAATAACAAAATAAAATAGGAGATAAATATAAAGTAGAATTAAAATAGAATAGAAAGTGCTAGAGTTAGAGGGTCAAATAAAGGTGGAACAGATGTGTTTTTAGTCGTTTCTTGAAGATGGTTAAGGACTCAGCTGCTCGGATTGATTTGGGCAGGTCACTCCACCAGGAGGGAACATATATATATATATATATATATACAGTATACATGAAATACATTTATTTTGCGCTAAGTATTCCACAAATACATTTACATATTTATATGCTTAATAAAAATACCCAGTTCAGATGCAAAAGCCTTTAAGCGCCGTTTGAAATTTTCTTCTAAAATGAGCATTTTTATCAGGCTCATATGTGAAGATTCAGTAATTTCACTTTAATGGCAAGAAATAGGTTCTTTTCATTGCCATTAAAGTGAAATAACTGAACAAAAACAGGAGCATGAGAAAAATGCTAATTTTAGAAGAAATTTTCAAAAGACACTCAGAGGCTTTTGCATCTGAACTCTTCAATTGTATTTTTGGTATACTAAACTGGTATAGGCCTACCTAAAGTCTGCTAAATTGGAAGAACTAATTTTGTGCTTAATGCACTTTAATTGTGTGGAAGTAGTGCTGAGGTCCAACTAAAGATATACTGATGTATATTTGATTGTGCTAAAGTGGAACTACTGTAAGTATACTTCAGGTACACTTAAAATATCTTGCATTTCAAGATTGATACTATACAGAGATCATACAATCCTTATTAATATTAAAACACATTTTAGGCATAACATTAAAAAATGTGCATATTGTGCAAATATTACTTGTGTCCAAGTAATACTCCAACTATAATTTTATATCTGTAAAACTTAAGTGATATGTCAATAAATATGTTAATGGATTTGAAGTATACTTAGGATGATATAAATGTATTTAAATAAATGATGGCAAAGGATTTTTTTACTAGGGTGTGAGAAAGCACTTCATCTGCTCTACCACTAGATGGAGATGCTGTTATAAAAGCTTGAGCCTGTGGCCACACATCACTATCAAGTTCAACACTTCCAACACTAATTATCTGTGTCACACAATGGAAATAGTCATGCATGTTCATAATGGGCATAAACACATGTGACAAACACATACACCTCAATGTCAATTTATCTCTGAACTGCGCATTATAAATAGCCAAATCCATTCATCATTACAGGATGACGTGATGCATCATGACACTTCAATTTACAGAAATAACTATACAATTCCATTTCCATTTGACTGCAATCTATTTGAATATTTAACCTTTTGACTTGCGTGTGTTTTCATTCAGTAAAATAAATGACTGTTGGCTTGGTATTATTATTATTATGGATGTTATCTAAACGTTTTTGCCAGCCAAACACATGAGACCTAAAATATTTATCCCCTGAGATTTTAAGTTAATATTTCAGTCATTTAAAACACATTCATGGTAAACAAATAAAATATTTCATGTTTTTATTTTTAAATGATTTATGTACATTTGACCTTATTATGATAGAATTTATCAATTTTTCATCAACTCACAAAAACCCAAACCCAGTTTGAGAAACCCTGATCTAATGCAATGACATACAAACTTCAGAGTCCAAATAATTTAAGCGGTAATTTAGCTTTTATATGCACGTTGCTTTTACACAGAAAAGCTCCACAGCTTCTTATTGTTTTGGCATTGGGGCACTGCATTATTCTTGGTATTCTAAGACACACCAGGTGAGAAAGGACTCAGCAAAGCATTTATTTCAATGCCTGAAGCTATGAAAGTGATTTGGCAAAGAACCACACCGTCATTTGTCATGTCAATATAGCACACCCATGTGAAAGCGAAAGCTGATGCTGACATTTACAACAAAGGCTGGTGGAAAAGACGCAGTGAAGTTCCTCAGACCACCGCAATCTCAATCAGTGCTCTTAGATTAAAGGTGAAGTGTGTCACTTGTTCTCTGTAGCAGCCATTCAAATTTTAACAAAATATATTGCAGACAACAACAGATCCCAAACATTTACACAACATGTCTGTGACACACTATAAAGCTAATCTTATACCACCACAGACACCTCAACACTCTTTAAGTGTTAGTTAGTTTACCCAAAATGAACATTCTGTCATCATTTACTCTCCCTCATGTCATTCTAAACCAGTATTGCTTTCTTCCTTCCATGAAACAGAGAAGATATTTTGAAGAATGTCCTGACCACTCAGTAAGATAATAATGAATACGTGATTCAGAATTTACACTATACCTTTCAAAAGTTTGTGGTTATTTTTAAGGAAATTAATACTTTTATTCAGCAAGCAATATATGTCAAAAATGACCACAAAGGCATTTATATTGTTACAAAAGATTTCAATACAAAGAAAAATGCTGTTCTTTGGAACTTTCTATTAATCAAAGAATCATGGTTTCCACAAAAACATTAAGCAGCACAAATGTTTTCAGCATTAATATTAAGAATAGTAAGTTCCTTGAGCTGCAAATCAGCATATTAGAATGATTTCTGAAGGATCATGTGACACTGAAAACTGGAGTAATGATGCTGAATATTCAGCTTGGCTATCACAGAAAAAAAACTGTAATAATGTTTCACAATATTACCATTTTACTGTATTTTTGTGACTAAATAAATACAGCCTTGGTGAGCATATGAAAAATATTCAAAAATCTTACAGACCCCAAACCTTTCAAAGCCCCTCTGCAAATATGGACAGACAGATTTACACATAATATATTTTTGTCCAATAAAAATCAATAAATCCAACACAATGCAGATCAAACATACACAGAAATTAAGGTTTGAGCCCATACAACATTCTCAATTTGTCAAACACTCACACACACACACACACACACACACACACACACACACACACACACAAACACCAGTAAACCTGTCATAACAACAACAAAAAATCTCCTTAAGACGACAAAGAGACGCTTACCTGCAGCATGTTAACTGATTAATGACTTTTTCTTCTAAATCAAAGCACACACACAAACACTTAAACATGCAGTCATACCCTAAGCAGCAGCCCTTCTGGTGGCGTGGGTGAGACAGCCTCTCCGTCCTGTCCCCGTGCGCAGAGGTGAGGGGACATGGTGGGCGACTCGTCAATGAATGGCATGGTCTCTGAGCCATCCTGAGACTTCCTGTCCTCTGCAGTATCTCCCTCATAGCCATCAGTGTTGTAGTTAAAGTCTGGAAGGAGAAAACAGAGGAGTGTAAGATAGAGTTAGAAGAACTATGCAGGGTTATGGCTCACACCACAGATTAATGCCGCCATGTTGGGCCACTCAAACATTAGCGATGTTGAAAGCACTACAGTGTTTACATTTCTGAAGAAAACCAATCCACAAATGGTGCAATTAATTGTCTGTGCTGAACATAGGGTGTGTTTCATAGATGATCTGCATGTAGAGAAGAGGGCGGAGACTCTGGGTATGATTTACAGGATCTGTAGGATAAGATGGGAAGGGGTAGTGGGAAATGTGTGGGCATTTTAAGATGCTGTAATGCAGTATTACATCGGCTGCTATGGCTGACCGTGCAGTGGGCGAGAAAGTGATTTATCAAAGCTCTGCCAATATTAAAGATCCAAAGCAGAAACCAGCAGAGAAGCAACTAATGTCAACCCTCTACATTGCGAGTAAATCACTCGCATATGCGACTAAATCTTCACTCTTCACTCTGCGACTAAATGATGCCTAATTTTAGCCAATGGCTAATAAACTCTCAGATTTTACTCGCCAGTGTGTGAGTTGGAGGCTGAGTATAAGTTTAGCACAGATATATTTTCACTCACAGAACACTCTGACTGAGCGCTTCAGAGTTTCACTCTCCGTCAAGCAATCTGTGCCATTTATCATTTCATCTCAATGGATGCGCAACGCACCTGTGTTTGATGTACCGTAAACTCTAGTGTGAAGGCGCACAACTCGGCGTCACTTTATCACACACACACACACACACACACACACAGAGAGAGAGAGAGAGAGAGAGAGAGAGAGAACACACACACACACACACACACACACAGAGAGAGAGAGAGAGAGAGAGAGAGAGAGAGAGAGAGAGAAAGAGAGAGAGAGAGAATTGACACACTACATGTAAACGATGTTCTTTGTTGTATTTTCCTGTCAAAATAACAGAGTTCCTTTGGGATTCTTCAGCTTTTAAGAACTGCCGGGTTCTCCGGTAGTGGGCGGAACTAATGCGCAAACGGCAATCTCATTGGCTAGTGCTCACCTATTATCGTCCCTATTTTGATTTCAGCAAATCAGTTCGAGCAAACGCACATAACCTGATTAATATTCATGAATCCAGCAGCTCATTTATCCTTAGTGCGATTGTTCTTATTAGTAGAATTCGTATCATTATCATCTTACCAGTTTTTTTGTTAGTTTTTTTTCTTCAGAAACACTGAATGACCAATATAGTCCAGTTAAAATGTTCAGTTAAAATGACTAATATGCATTCATACATGGTTAAGTTTTAATTCTAATTACTAAAATTCTATCATTAAATAATACTTGATTATCATATTATAATGCTAGACTGACTGACGTTAAGAGTGTACTTTCAGATATTTTAAATAACTGAGCCATTTTACAAACATATATATATATATGTGTGTGTGTGTGTGTGTGTGTGTGTGTGTGTGTGTGTGTGTGTGTGTGAGAGAGTGTTTGACAAATTGAGAATGTTGTATAGGCTCAAACCTTCATTTCTGTGTAAGTTTGAGCTGCATTGTGTTGGATTTACTGATTTTCATTGCACAAATAAAAAAAATGCTTTGATTTTCCATTCATTTCCCATTTTTGGGCATGAAGGTCAAATTAAGGAGTTTTTTTTTCTCCAACCACTTAACATTGTTGAATTGAGTCCTCATTTGTGTGTGTGTGTGTGTGTGTGTGTGTGTGTGTGTTCAGGTGGCAAACGTCAGGTGCCAAGTCTTGAACCACTCAGATTAAGTAAACTATTTAAAAAATATATATATATGATTTTGCCCAAATTTGTCCCAAAGGATGATTGAGGGTTAATATACGCTAGATCCAGAGGTGTCATGCCCATTTAAAGTGTGATTGATTTTTGAGCCAAGAGGATTTTGAATGCAGCTTCCAAAAGACAAAAAATAGCCGAATAATATTTTGTATATTTGATACAATCACACCAGCGTGATTAAATCGTTCAGCGTGTCATATCATCAGCTGCTAAATTCAAATCTGCGTTCGCTGGCTGGCGCTGAGCCAGAGACAGACGCGTTTTTACAGCACTGTGCATTAACCAATCACACACAATGCTGTTGAGCTTATGAATGCAATGACCAATCAGAGGTTTCCAGATGAGGCATCGCTAAAATGCCGGTGTTTTGTTCACTCGCTCGCTGACTGAATACCTCTTTCTGGCAAATTCTCTCATCAGAAACAACAAAGTGCAAATGTGTATAAATATGTAAAATATTAATTTCACAGTGTAAACAGCTTCAGTGATTTTTTTAAGGGGAGTTTTTGAGAGTGCTTGAACTCTAGGCTGTCAGTGAAAATGTTCTTTGATAATGTAAATGTTCTTTGCTATCTTTCTGTACAATGGAAGTGTTATGATAAGTAGCCTAACTTACAATGTTTTTATTTCACATTAATTTTCAATGTTAAATTCACATTAAATATAAAGTCAGTTGTATTAAAACTGTTATGGCATGACACCCATATCTGTTACTTAAGTAAACAGACAGGTTTTTATGCATAGTTAATAGACTACATTATTAAGCTACTTTGACCATCACCCACTATAGATCAACTAACATAGGTGAGAATCAAGATATTTCATGATATAGCTAATGCGTTTCGCAATGTTTCGAATAAAAAGGGAAAAAAATAAATAAATAAAACATAAGAACCAGGACCAGGGTTGAGAAACACTGCTAGAAATATGCTAGCAATGTATTAAAATAGGCCAGGTCCATTCTAATAATTCTAACAACACCTAACAAAAGGCTAAAATATTCTACAAACATACTAGAAACATGTTAGCAATGTGATAAATCATTCTAGAAACGTCAAACAAGTTAGCTACATGATAAAACATGCAAGAAACCTGCTAAAAGATCTTTCTGTTCATGCTTGATCTATCCACCTATCTACTGTATCTGTCTAGACTGCACACCTTCAAGCTTTTAAAACTACTTCAAACTTTCTGAGCAGGCTTTTAAAGTTTGTCCAACTTTTTAATTTAGTCTTTTTGTGACACATGACAGCATTTCACAGAAATCACACTGAAAAGAACCCAGAATATTCCCACTTAAATGGAACTTTAAGAGCACGAAGAGGAGCAAAAATCTCCTGTTAAAGTGTTTATGAGTTCAGCAGCATTCACAGGAGACGCGTCTTCATTAAAATGGAAAATGCAGTGTGTTTGTGTCAAGACACACACTCCCACATGGCCAGAGACTGGCACATAAACAAAAGACCTGCTTGACAACCCAACCCCGAGGGGCAGGGCCAGCCCGTCTGTCACCATGGTTGTTACCGTGACGACCATTGATAACCAGCAAAGGAACAGACCAATTGTAACTCAACTTGGTTACCATGCTGTGTTCCTTTCCCCTTGAAAACACATTGTGTGTCACATCAAAGTGACACGTCTGTCACTCAATACTCAAAGAAGCAACAAAGCAAATACAATAAGGCACCGTAAAATTAATGTTTGCTTTATTTATTTCAACTCATTTTTCATCTTTCTACTACAAAACAAAGATTTGGCTTGATCTTCTAACTGGTCTATGTATGTGAGCATGGTTACATTAGGAGAGATTAATAGTGTTCGATAAAGTCATAGTCTAGTCATAAGACAGCGCAGGAAATAACTGTGCCATTTAACTGCTGAACAGAAAAATGGGTTGAATGTGGGTCAACAGGCTCTCATATCCGTTTTGCCTACAGCACATTCACACGGGTCAAAATGACCTGCACTGACCAGAACCAATCACTCTGTCATTCACTGCTGCTACTGCAAGTCACGCCCGTTCGTCTTCTGCTAATGTGAATTCACAACCCCAATGTTTCAACCATCATGCTCACTTTCATATTTTATTAGCTACAATCCATATTTTGGTACTGCCATATATACTTACATTTTAGAATTACATTTCAAAGATACTGGGAATTGAACCCATAGCCTTGCTGTTGCTAACAGGCTTTACCAGTTAAGAAATAGTACACAAGTAAACAGTATTGAATTATATTTTAAATCAAATGAAGCTATTTTTAGACCATTAACATTTGAATTAAATTTGCATTGTCAAATTATTTTCATGACAATTAAGCCGTTTTTCCCCCTTGTTCTCATTAGTATACATAATGCCAACATTTGCTGTGCCATACATGTGTGTGCTATATGTGTGTGTGTGTGTAGAAAACAGCAGAAATGACTCTTGAGAAAATATAACAGTTAATGTGTCAGGGCTAAAACCTAGCTCCACATTTTTTATATTTATAATAAAACTAAACTCAAGTTTGTCATTGTAACTAGGCTACAATTACTTTTTAACGTCATTCTAAAATAGGAATCAAAGCGCAATCATGAAATAATGCTTATGAATGAAAAATTAACTAACATAAAAATAGGGCACAGTGTAGGCAGCATAGTTGTTTTTCTTACAGCAGGCCAATTCTCTGAGCCCCGCACATGACAAGCAGGAGAAAAAAAATGTCATAAGAAATGTTTAGCTTAAACATGAAAATTAAAATTAGTTTAAAATGAAACATTATACTCGTATACTCGCGATTTTTTTTTGGGGGGGGGTGAATAAATACCATGCTCTTACGTTTTAACTAATATGAAGGTATGATTTAATAAAAAGTGATCTACAAATTCTTTAATTCTCCAAACTCAAACCACGTGGCAAATAGCATAAATATGCACACCTCAAATACTGTACAATAAAAAGTAAGAACTCTTCAAGCACTGCCGTCACTGTAATATTTGACTCTAAAAGTAGTAAAATAGCTGAAACATTACGCATTTAGCCTATATGATTCCTAATTAGTTGAGATTTAATGTTATAATGCTATATTATTATTTTTATGGCACATGGTGGTGGATGTCGCAAACAAGTTTCACATGTGTCTGATTTGTATTTGCCACGGTGGTAAGCATGACGGTAACAGGCATTCTGGTTGACCACCTACTGTACCAACAGT